ACCTTTTTATAACCCTAAAGATAATTTAGGGAAAGCAGTAACATTCTAGTCTCCCATATAATTTTCCTAATCCTCCTGTCTACTGGCATTTAGCTCACAGTAATGACAATGTTTTTTTAGAGAAGGGGGGAAACATGAGTTTTAAAATTTAAACTGTAAGATAAAATGCTTATCCCGCTCGGCTCTGGGAACTGTTTCTATGCTTGTCAGGACTTCTGTCTGCACAGACAAAAAGTAGACCCATTTTAGTGGTTGGCACAGTTTCCGTCAGGGCGCTCATGGGATCTGAGGGAAGTCGCTGAGCATGGGGGTTAAGGGAGCGGTGTCTCAAGTTACATTCTCCTCCGCTTACTGCCTGCACGAGCCAGGCTCGTTCCCGGACTCCTCTGAGGTTACGATTCCTAAATTAGGATGAAGAGCGCTATCAGTCTCTCAAAGAGTGGCTGAGAGGTTAAAACAGAAGCGTGCGCAGAAAGAGCACACACTAAGTGCTCCATAAATGCTCACTGTGACAATATATATTTGGACACAACATCCCCAATTCTATAGCCTAAAGATAGGATACAATCATTTTTAACTCCGCTAGCCAAAAGGCAGCCTCCAGAACAGGAAAGTGAAAAGTTCACCAAAGGAGCTGCTCCCCGGTCACTCTAGAAGAAAATGCATGTGTGAAAGGCCGGCTGCATTTGGACGTAGGCCACAGCAGGCTGTGTGCCTGGTTGTCTGCCCTAAATACCGTGTCCTAGAAGACACACTTTGCACACTTTCCGGCCCGTGTAGCACATGTAACTGTGCCTTGCATCGAGCGGCCTTCAACAAACATGTATTACACTGGCCGGGTTCGCATGGATTTAATTCCTGTCCCCAGGGCTGCTCTTTTCCAAGAAAGAAAACCAAAAAGCAGCAAGAATAAGCTAAACAGGAGAAATGATATGAAATAACTCACAATGCTTCCGGAAACTCTCCCTGTAAGGCCCAAATCTTGTTCGTCTATGTTATCTAGAACTGCACAACTTGTTCCCCTCATATTCTGGCAAGAGACCCTCTTCATGTCTTCTCACAGTGGGAGCAGTCGGTGGGGGGGTTGGTGAGTCAACGGACAGTGCTGCTTGGCTCCATTACTTGTTTGGCTGTGTCCTCCCTGGGCACCCCAGACATGGGCAGGGGTGGGTTCCAGATCAGGAGGATTGGGACTGGGTCGGAAGGAAGCACACGGCACAGCCTGGTCAGTACCAGGAAAAGGCCTGAAGGTTTATCTCCAGAACCCAATCCACGTTGAAGCATTTTCAGTGGGTATGACCCTGCCTTGTTCTGCTTTCCGGTCTGTGTAGGCGCTTTTCTGTCAGGCATGGGTGGATGTTTAATCAGTAAGATGATCTGATATGCCCATTGCTGTTACAAGCTCAGGAAGTAAATTTAGCAATGAACATGATTTTTCCAGACATAGAAATTGGGCCATAAAGTTTTCCTGGATGGAAAGAAAGCTCAGAACTCTTGACTTATACTGATATCTCTGACTTCCACGGGTACCTGTGCTGAATACAATTTTGACACTCACCCTGATGGTGCAGGTTCCAGTAGCTGAAATGGCTCCCAGGGCTACACTTCAGAAACAAGCTTCAGATGGGTTTAACTTGCATACCTGCAAGATGACTGCCACTGGCCTTCTCTGTGGTGCAGACTAGTTCTATGTTAACGGTTGTACAGAGAATCAAGTTAACCTAGCTTATGTTATTAGAACGACAGTCTTTAATGAATCACTCAGAAAACAATTGTTTAGGGGCACCTGGGTGGCTCAGTCGGTGCAGCATCTGCCTTTGGCTCAGGTCATGACCCCAGGGTCCTGGGATCAAGCCCCGCATCAGGCCCCTTGCTCGGCAAGAAGCCTGCTTCTCTCTCTCCCTCCGCAGCTCCCCCTGCTTGTGCTCTCTCTCTCAAATAAATGAAATCCTTTTTAAAATATTTAAAAAAAAACCCACTGTAAACAAAACAATTGTTTACCGAGCAGCCAAGATCCTAGAAACACAATGACAAGCAATACGGGCGGCACTCATTTCAAGGAACTTAATATAGAGAAGGTCTTTTTAATTAGAATAGGATAACAATTTCAGGGGTTGTTTTATATAGTTCCAACTTAGCCTATGTTGGAACTACTTTGCTCGGGATCTCCGCCCCGGTCCTGTTGGCCACAAGAGCACTCTTCATGCTTTCTGGAAGGCACGACGAAAGCACAGGCTGACCACTGTGCTGGGCGTCTGTGCTGGGGCAGCTTGCCTACGTCGTCACCGACCAGCTGGAGCCACGTGCTGGCACGAGGCATCTCCGGTGCACCTTCAGGACTTGCAGTATCTCCCTCAGTTTCTCCCACCCTTGGGCCACGTGCCTGCAAGCTCTAAGCTGAAGCCCGCAGCAGTTTTTATCCTCCCCCAGCAGCAGACCCTGCCTGCGGACAGTGACTTCACGATCACACAGAACCCATGGGGACAGCCTGACACAAACTTCTGCAGCAGCTCACACAATCGTGGAAGGTCTAATTACTATAATAAATATCTTATCTTGGATCTCCCTCGGTGCTTCTGGTCCCCTAATTGAACCCGGAACCATCAATTACCTACAATTTAGAAGCAAAGGTCTTTGAGGACAGTACAGAGTTTATAAGCCTTTCAATGAAGAAAGGGTTTTTAATTCATATTCATATAAGTAATACTGGTGTTTGCCAATCCAAGCAATGGACCGACGTGCCAGCTCTCACCTGAGCACACAGGTCCCCTTCGGCAGCCAGCTCTCAAAACACCAACCCAAACCTTCTCTGCTGTTTCCCCATCAAGCCCATTTCTCTTGCCTCAGCTGTGACTTAGGGGAGGCACAATGTATAGGCAGTAGCATCCGATTCAAAGGAAGCAAGAAATCTGAATTTAGAACTGCCAGGCACAGAGACGTGCTCACAGTCAGTTCCAGAGATGGTTACAGAGACCCAATATTCATAAGAAACTTTTTAACTTGTTGTAGTAGATATTAATAGGAAGTCATCCTCTTTCACAAGTTTATATATGACCCTGATTATTTACAACTCAGGGCCTGTGTTTAATTCCTTCCCAGCCAAGAGACACCTGAAAGGGATTTTTTTCCCCCAGCAAACCTGCAGAGGGAGCTGGTTCCTTAGAGAAGCAACAAACGCCTTTCTCAGATAGACTGATCGGTCACTGGGTTGACTGAACTCACCCTAAAGACCGGTAAAGAAGGCAAGCGGATGGTTGCTGCCATGGATGTTTTGGGGACTGAAGCAAGTAGCGGACCTAGCAAAGGGAGAGAGCACTTGGGAAAGATCCCATAGTTCTGAAATCATCTAGTCTTCTGTTTTTCTGTCCCACTAGACTACGTGCCTCCTAAGCACAAGGCCTGGAATATAGGAAGTGCTTAGTGAAATTTTTTTTTTTTTAACTTAAAAGACCTGGTTCTTGTTAAAAGAGGAAACAAACCCATATTTTTCAGAAGATCCTTAAAAAGAAATTTGCTGAAGATCACATGGTCTTAAAAGACCAGGAAATACTTCTCTGAAGGAGCTGGTCTCATGAAGCTGGTCATACCAACGCAAGCAGCCACTGTCCCTGCTTTCCCAGGTAAAACAGAAATGACCATAAGAAGGTTCTGGATTCCCCAGAGCATAAGCCCGGCAACTTAGGATCATTAACCTTCCTCATTCCCTGGGGCCCTCAGAAAAGAGAACACAACCCACACCTTCTCTTTTTTTTCTTTTTTTTTTCTTTTTTTAAATTTTATTTATTCATTTGAGAGAGCATGAGAGCTAGAAAGAGAGCACATATAGAGGAAGAGGAAGAGAGATAAGCAGGCTCCCCGCTGAGCAGGGAGCCCAATGCTCGGCTCAATCCCAGGCCCCCAGGATCACAACCTGAGCAGAAGGCAGACGCCCAACCAACTGAGCCACCCAGGCGTCCCAACACAAACCACACCTTATAAAAACTGCTCAACTCACACAGCACAGCAAGGAAGATTATGAGCACTGAGAAAAGTGTCAGGTACCAAGTATTTTGTGAAATTTCCAGACAGTTGCCAAAGAGGAAAAGCTGACACTGGTGACAGGCACCGACCCCTGTGACATTAGCAGGCACCCTCGGCGACAGCACTTGCTGCCGGACAGACGGGGAGCCCAGCTCCTTCTCCAGCAGCAGAGGAGTCATCTGGTCAAATCCGCCACCAAGACTAGTCATCCAATGACAAGTGCCTCCTGGGTAAGAGCCTCTGGTCTCCCAGGACGGTGAGAGACCCCTCTGACCGGGCTTCAGGGCTCACAGTCACCAGCATTCCCCACCTCTCCTCACCCACACTGGTTCTCTTTTCACCACTTTTACTTTCCCTGAACCAGCTGCTCCGTGCGCTGTAGCGTCAACGACCCTCCTCTCCGTTCCGACGTGCTAGATCGGACTGTATGAATCGTGATCATCTAAAACCATCTTCACCAGCATTTCCAGAATTCAAAATAAATTCTTGCTTGAGCACCTACCGTGGAGCAGGCTTGGGATACACCAGGGAACAAAACACAGGTCCCCGCCCTTGCGGAGCGTCCATTCTGGTGACATGTTTGCGGAGCTCAGGATGTTCATGCAGGACTGACCAGCTTCCTCTCCCTGCTGCTCCACCTCGGCCTTCTCAGTTAATGGCCCCACCATTCACCCAGGGGCCTCTCCTCTGCCTCACCCTCCCGAGGTCCCAAATGCTGTCAGGTTCATACTTACCCTGTGACCACACCCCAGCGCTCAGAGGACCCCCAGTCCTCTGCCATGTGACCTAACCTCTGCCATCAGACCTACCTCCACTACAGCGCTCGTTCCATCTACACAGAGCTGAACCCGCCATTCATTCATTTCCATGTCCCTTGTCCTCTAGCCTGTTTAGCCCCCTGCCTCCCTCCTTCCCCTGGCCTGGTAAGTGCCTACTCTCTAGGGCTTGGAGGTACTAGATTAAATAAGATAATCACTCACTTCACTTCTGGAGGCAACAGCCCGGTGCAGTGGGGTGAGCCACATGTTGTCCTTGGCATTGACACGAGCTCCTGAAAGCAAAAGCACAAGTCAGAGGCATAATGCAGTCAGGGGAAATTCTACTCATGTTAAGTCAAATGGGATATCTTGTGCTCTCATCTGCCTTGTACAACCACCCTATTTCTTTTTTTTTTTTTCCTTTTGTATCAGTCATGTACTTTCTAGCCACCAAACAGAAGGAGAGACCCAATACAGTAGAAAAATTGAAATCAGGAGCTGAAAATGGCACAAGAATTGGGAAAAGACTAGACAAGAAGTGCGATATCTCATTGGATAGGGGACACAGTGGTAAAAAGGCTGAGATTCTCCAGGAGTAGGGTCATGTAGATCCTGAAGAATGAAGAACTTTGCAGGTATGTGTGTAATGTAAATATATATGCATATATACATACAAAATATATGATTATATACAAATATAAAATTTTATCTATAAAATACATAGTCACATACGTTATTTTTAGTCACTAAGTAGACTTAACCTCATGGGGCACACAATGGCCTTCTTGGCAAACTGTCAAAGATGAGCTGCGTTCCAACAAAGGTATACTAGAGGTCAGCTGGATTTTAAACCAATCTTATAAAGTTGAGTTTGATGAGACTTGATCTGGGCTAAGGGGATTCACAGAAATCTGTTCTATCCAAGACTCTCGATGATTTCCCTGGCACAAGCCAGATATCTTGGGAGCAAGCAGCCGACTTCCATAGAGCTTTGGACAGACGTAACATGAAGCCTATGCACGTTGCTCAGAGCTCCTTCCGCTTGGGGAGGGGAGGGCGGCAGGCAGACAGTTTCAGATGGGCCAGAACCAACTCACATTCAGGGACGTGCCCTCACGCTCAACTTTCTGGGAGCCACGTCACCAATCGGGGGACAAAAGCTCCATGTGAATGGATTCCAAGAGTAGAGAATGCCTTCCTTCCGAGATAGACTCTCAGTTCCCCATGAGTGCAAGCCCACCACAGAAACACCCAACATCAGCTTCCTTTTAGGGGGGGGCGGGTTTTGTTTTGTTTTTTTAAAATATTTTATTTATTTGAGAGAGACAGTGCACGTGTGAGCATGAGTGTGGGGGGGGGGCAGAGAGAGAAACAGATGCCCCACTGAGCAAGGAGCTTCAATCAGGACTCGATCCCAGGACCCTGAGATCATGACCTGAGCTGAAGGCAGATGCTTAACCCACTGAGCCACCCAGTTCCCCCAGGTTTGAAGTTTTGATCAGTCTTTTGCTCAGATGGAAAATTTTGTGAAATAATTTTGTGTGATATCTTTGTAGATGTAACAAGAGGAACCTATGTTAGCCTCAGGCCAACAAGGAAGGGCGCTCCCGGGGAAGAAGACTGGAGGGATGAATCAAAGGAACCAGAAAGTAAGGTGGGGGAGGGGAAGTGCGCACGGGATGCCTCTGGAACAAGGGCCAAGAAAATGAGTCCAGTGGAAGCAGGACTGATTCATCTCTGTGAGCCCAAGGACAGCTGAGAGCTGAAAAGTAGAAACTTATTTTTAAAAAGTGAAAGAAAAAGGCAACAGGAGACTTTCATGGGTCAAGGTGAGCTAGAGGGGCACGTGCGTGGCTCAGTCGGTTAAGTGTCAGACTCTTGGTTTCCACCCAGGTGGTGATCTCAGGGTCTTGAGATCAAGCCCTGCATTAGGCTCCACCTGGGCATGGAGTCTGCTTAATACTCTCTCTCTCCCTCTTCCTCTGCCCCTCCCCCCACTCACTCTCTCAAAATTAAAAAAAAAAAAAAGTGAGCTCAAAATTCAGTTTAAGCCACCAGCTAAAAAATAAATACCAAATCATAGACCTTACAATATTTTTCTGTTTAACTGAAGAACAAATACCATCAACAATATTGATTCTAGAAAACAAGAACATAATACTCCCTAAAGCAAAGAAAAAATGTCTCCCCCCACCCCCGCCATTCTGATTTCGTTGGTTTGAGATGAGGCCAGGCACAAATAGTTTTTAAAAGCTCCCCAAGACCCAAGATTATTTTAATATGCTGTCAGGGTTGAAAGCCACTGAAAAATTGTTGTTTAGTTTATCAAGCTTCAAATCCTACTTCTACTGACTCCATCCAGGCAGCTCACCTAGGAGGCTCAAGCCCTTACCTCAACAGGCTCAGATGAGATCAGCGTGGGGATGCTAGGAATCAAAGGCAGTAGGTATCTCCCTCCCCTGGAGCAGGAAGTCCCGGGTTAACTGCTCCGGAGTGGACACCCGAAAGGGCTGGGGGCAAGTCTCCTCCCCCGGGGAAGCCTGCCTCAAGCTTCCCTTTGCTCGCCCTGTCCATTTTTAAGGAACGTCCTGTCACAAAGTCGAACCAGTCATCTGAGAGGGACAACACCTGGGCCACAGCACACTCCGGGTCTGGGCTGCCACCTACCCATCCGCACGATGTCCTTCTCCCCACTCTAGTCATCCCTTCCTTCAGCAAGTTTGGAGGAAGGAACAGGATGTGGAGGAAGGAACAGATGCGACACCTGCCACAGGTACCGAGTCAGCTCAGACTCAGAGCCTCAAAGTCTGCGCTGTCTGGTGGGAATGTGATGGGAGTCAGCGATGCAATTTTAAGTCTTGTAGTAGCCACATTAAAAAGGGGACAAAGAAAACAAGAAAAATTAATTTTAATTATATATTTTACTTAACTCAATACATCCAAAACATCATGCAATCGAGTTTAAAAGTTACTGAGGGCAGGGCGCCTGGGTGGCTCAGTGGGTTAAGCCTCTGCCTTCGGCTCAGGTCATGATCCCAGGGTCCTGGGACTGAGCCCCGCATCCGGCTCTCTGCTCAGCAGGGAGCCTGCTTCCCCTCCTTTCTCTGCTTACTTGTGATCTCTGTCAAATAAATAAATAAAATCTTTTAAAAAAATTATTGAAAAAAATTATTGAGGGAATTTACATTCTTTTTTTCATGCAGATGAAAAATATATATTCAAAAATTCAAAAAATTCAAAAAAATATGCATTCAAAATCCAATGTGTGTTTCATCCTTACAGCACATCTGCACCGAACCTGGCCACACATCACGTGCTCAGGAGCCACAGCTGGTTTGTGACTACCGTGTTCGACAGTGCAGATCCAAATGCTACGCAGTAGAGGCCAGACTTGGAGACTCATTGGCTGAGGAGCTCCCTTTAGTTCTAAAGAGCTACAGTTCGGGCGCCTGGGTGGCTCAGTGGTTTGGGCCTCTGCCTTCAGCTCAGGTCATGATCTCAGGGTCCTGGAATCGAGCCCCGCATCAAGCCCCACATCGGGCTCTCTGCATAGTGGGGAGCCTGCTTCCTCCTCTCTCTCTGCCTGCCTCTCTGCCCACTTGTGAATACAGAAAAATCTTTAAAAAATAAAAAAAAAATTAAGAGCTACAATTCTATTATTACAGCTCAGCGACAGCCAGGAGCCTTGTTCAAAGTTGCTAACATAATCTGAGCTCTTACTCTGTACGCTAACACACGTGTAGTCCATTCAATAGGGAGATGCTATTACAATGCCAATTTCATAGACGAAGGAACAAAGGCCATGAGAATTAACAGTCTCCAGGCAGCCAGCTAGGAAGGGGCAGACTTGAACCCAGGCAGTCTGATTTCAGTGCCCAAGTTCCTGGGCACTGTGCTTCACTCCATCACTAGCCATTCAACCAAACACTGATTAAGCTTCCCTTTCACTGTCCCCATCTTTCTCTCCATTCCTTACACTCATTCCTCTCTCCCTCAGTCCATCTCTCTCTCTTCCTCCATTTTCGTATATCTATTTTCAAATATATATTCCCTCTTGATTTCATTTCCTTCTTTCCCACCTTTCTCCTTTTAGCGCCAAGCACTGGTTATAATAATATGAAACAGAAATACACATTTTATTATTCATAGTCTTTGAGAGAGTAAATTTTGCATTGCATGTGCATAAACTTCAAAAGCTAATGCAAGAAGAACCCCAAATGGCAAGACGCCTAGAAAAATAGACTTCTCAAAATTCAAGAAGGAGAGGCATATGAAAGCAACATTAACATACCATTTCACACCCATCAAATTGGTGAAAATTATAAAGTAGGGCAATGCCAAGAGTTAGCAAGGGTATGGAGAAATACTAAGACTTCCATATAGGCAGTGGGAGCATGGACTGGTACAACCGTCTTCGGGAAGCAGTTTGGTTCCACCTGGGAAAATTGACAATACGTGTGCCCTACTACCCAGCAACCCCCAGTTGTATACCCTGGACAAACTCTATAAGAATGTTCACTGCAGCATGTTCATAACAGCAAGAAACTGGAATCTTAAGTGTTGGTTGAGAGGAAAATGGAGAAATATGTTTGGTATATTCATACAATGGAATGCCCTCATCATGGAAATGGAGGGACTGAAGTTTTACCTATACAGAAACAGATGCACTTCAAAAACACAAAATGAATGAACAAATGAGGTTGCAAAGTATTACCTGTGGCATAATGCCAGTTATATCAAGTTTTTAAATTTACAAAAACAATTCTATACCTGGTTTGTGGATACACAGGCATGAAATAAAAATGGTAAATGTGGCTAAAGAAACAGATACCAACTGTGGATAGTGGTTGTTTCCAGGGAGGGGTGGTGGGAGAAAGGCTGAAGGAGTTCTGTCAAGTGGGCTCAAGTGTGTCTTCAATATTTTATTTAGGAAAAATGTATGAGGGGGCGCCTGGCTGGCTCAGTTGGTTAAGCTTCTGCCTTCAACTCAGGTCATGACCCTGGAGTACCAGGATGGAGCCCTGCATCGGGCTCCCCATTCAGTGGGAGACCCTTCCCCTTCTCATGCTCTCTCTCTCTCTCTGACTCTCTCAAATAAATAAATAAAAACTAAAAAAAAAAAAAGATACAAACATGGAAAAAATGTTAAGATTTCTTAAAGCTTATTATATCATTCTCCATATTTTCTGTGTTTGAAATATTTACTATCAAACATTCTTAAGAAAGCTAGCACATTTGAGTTGTTATGTTTCTTCATAAAAATGGGGAGGATTGAGATGCTTTTCCTTATGTT